TTTTAGAATTTGTATGTAAAGACAGAAAAGACATGATGGAAAGAACTATACAAGTCCCTTATGCAAGGAAAGAAAAAAGATCCTCATAAATGAACAAACAATATATTCAATGATTTAATATTGAAAATATACAGAATTATATTGTGTTCATATATTACAATATTTTTGAATAATACATAAGTAATTACTAGTTTTCATATCTTTAAATGTGACAATATGTGTATTCACATATAATATATAGATGTACATCTGATAAAATATGGTATATCCATATATTTGTATTTGTTTGTATTTTATTTTATATACTTATATTTGTAAAATCTCCACCCACCATGTTACCACCATGACTTTAACAATTGTCCAAAAATCCTACAATTTCAATATTTGTTTTCACTAATTTTCTTATGCACAATCACACCTATTCTCATATGAAATGTGTTTATGAAAAGTGTATGAATGCATGTTCAGCTTTATGTAAACCCATAAAAGAGAAATCAATTAATTTCTTCAATAGATCCATTACATGTAAAATGTAATACAGTTTTTGTCTTCATTGCTATAGAATTTTATGGTCGGTGCATATGCAGTATATTGAAAAAAATGTAAACACTAGTTTCTCGTATATATATGAATATATTATGTAATATATTGGATTCTATGTTTGAGTATATTTCCATATATTTTTATTTTGCAAGCAACTGTCTCTTTGAATTTCTTTCAAATAAGCTATAACCAATAATGCCTGAGTTAGATGAATATGAGTTAGAATAATGTTAGATGTTGTGTTTACTGGATAATATACTACTTAATGCTTGGAGATATAATTTACATGGCTTTTGAAACTTGAAAGTCTCCTTTCTTTGTAGTTGCATGGAATAGCACAATACATCATTAAAGACTTGAACATCTTTTCTCAGGATTGGCCAAGATAGAGACCTGTTTGAATAGAAAATCCCCATGCAAACTTTGTACAGCAGTTGGGCTAAACCACTCACTGTCATTTTCCACTCCCATTGCTACCGTCTTCCATGCTTAACATACTTTAAGTGAATCACCTGTGTATTGCTCATGCTATTGAGTGAATTGAGATGGGATGAATACAAGAGTACCTAGGTACTACCTTTAGGTCTATTTATTTATTTATGGACATTAAACATATGAATGCAGTGAATTACAGTATAACAAAATGTTTGCTCTTAGTCTAGGGTGGCTTTTAGTCCCTTACGTCTTCTCATTTACATTCATGATATTCTCTTCCTCAGCTCTTGCTTTTTTAAGATGATACTGTAGGGAGACAATTGTAACATTTAAAAAAATGTTTTTTTACACTTTCCTTCATAACTGACCACTTCAAATCTATGGAAATAATATATATGTGTGTGTGTGTGTGTGTGTGTGTGTGTGTCCCATCAGTACTAGAGCCATCACAATATTAATGCTGAGAAAGACTTGATTGTAATATATATATATATATATATATATATATATATAAAGGTTGGTTGGAAAAATCCTTTATTTATTTGTGAAAGTATTGCATATGTTTAGTCATATTGCTAATTAAAGGTGTTCATTTAGCTGTAGTTGCAGCAGAAAGGTTAAGTGGGACCTAAATGATAATTACTTAAAATGATTTAAAAAGATATACAGGTGCTTGTTTGATAAGACAGTTCAGAAATTCAAGTATGGAATTTTCTTGACACCTCACATAAAGAAAAATCAACTTTTAATCACGGGCATTTGACAAGTTCATGTTAGATTTAGCAAACCTATAGCTACAGGCCATTTGAACTTTAGAATCTTCAGACATTTTAAACTTGTGATATGCCTGCTTTTGCAGAACCTCCAAACTATATTGAGTATATCATTAAAACTATTATTATCTAATGTGCTGTTGCAACTTTTTCTAATAGATATAGTTTCATCTGAAGCCATAGATTTTCCTGTGTCATTTCTCCTTTTTTCTGTTGTCCTTATCAAATGTTTTACAATACTTTGTCAAGAACAAATAACTAAAACCATAATTTCAGACTAATTAACATGTTTAAAATGACTCAAGTGCAGATCATTGTTGATAAAGTTATTTTAAATCAACATTGCGCTTTCAAAGGTTTGTATCTCAAGTTGTCGAGTAAATAATCTCCTAAAATACCCCTCATCGAATCTGCTTGATGACAGTAATTTACCTAAACCATAAATTTTAGATTGGGATTCTTCACAAACCTCACAATACATTGCCATGTTAAGTTTAAGTTTAAGTTAATTTCGAGCAATATATATATATATATATGTACACATATATATATCAATACACATACATAGAAAAATAGAACAGTTTATCTCACATACATGCATATACAATTATGTTACACATATCCATACACATATTTACACATAATACTTGCTCGAAAAGGAGTGGAAAGAAGTAGAACTTATTTGCTCCCACCCCCAATTCATTCCCATATATTACACCATATGGTTGCTGCCATTGTCTGTTACTAATAATTTATGTGATATTATAATAGTTATATACAAATACCCAAATACAATATGTCCGTCTCAATAATCACAATAATACATTATAATAATCCTCATTATCATAAACATTCTAATATGTCCCAGTATTTATAATAATCATGTAATATATAAAATATAACCATATCCTATTATATTGTTAAATCACAGTTTTAAAAGAACAATAATGTGTGTGTGTGTGTGAGTGAGTGAGTGAGTGTGTGTGCATGTGAGTGAGTGAGTGAGTGCGTGTGCGTGTGTGTGAGTGTGTATGAGTGTGTGTGTGTGTGCGTGTGAGTGCGTGCGTGCGTGAGTGCGTGTGAGTGTGTGTGAGTGTGTGTGTGTGTGTGTGTGTGTGTGTGTGTCCCATCAGTACTAGAGCCATCACAATATTAATGCTGAGAAAGACTTGATTGTAATATTGCATTATATATATATATATATATATATAAAGGTTGGTTGGAAAAATCCTTTATTTATTTGTGAAAGTATTGCATATGTTTAGTCATATTGCTAATTAAAGGTGTTCATTTAGCTGTAGTTGCAGCAGAAAGGTTAAGTGGGACCTAAATGATAATTACTTAAAATGATTTAAAAAGATATACAGGTGCTTGTTTGATAAGACAGTTCAGAAATTCAAGTATGGAATTTTCTTGACACCTCACATAAAGAAAAATCAACTTTTAATCACGGGCATTTGACAAGTTCATGTTAGATTTAGCAAACCTATAGCTACAGGCCATTTGAACTTTAGAATCTTCAGACATTTTAAACTTGTGATATGCCTGCTTTTGCAGAACCTCCAAACTATATTGAGTATATCATTAAAACTATTATTATCTAATGTGCTGTTGCAACTTTTTCTAATAGATATAGTTTCATCTGAAGCCATAGATTTTCCTGTGTCATTTCTCCTTTTTTCTGTTGTCCTTATCAAATGTTTTACAATACTTTGTCAAGAACAAATAACTAAAACCATAATTTCAGACTAATTAACATGTTTAAAATGACTCAAGTGCAGATCATTGTTGATAAAGTTATTTTAAATCAATATTGCGCTTTCAAAGGTTTGTATCTCAAGTTGTCGAGTAAATAATCTCCTAAAATACCCCTCATCGAATCTGCTTGATGACAGTAATTTACCTAAACCATAAATTTTAGATTGGGATTCTTCACAAACCTCACAATACATTGCCATGTTAAGTTTAAGTTTAAGTTAATTTCGAGCGATTATAGGCCCCCTCTCTTCCTGTAAATAACTTTTGAATATTGCCCGGTAGTTCATTTTTGTTGGCTTTATACAAGAGTTGTGCAGTATAAAAATCAACTAAATCAAAAAGTTTTAATAGTCTGAATTGCAGAAATAATATATTTGGGTGATCAAAATATCCCACCTTATGTATGATTCTAACTGCAAATTTTTTAAGTATGAAGAGGGGATTTAGCGAACTTTTATAGTTATTGCCCCAAACATCTATACAATATGTTAAGTAGGGCAAAACTAATGAACAATGCAATATATATAATGCATTGTATTCCAGGGCATATTTAACTTTATTAATTATATAGATACTTTTGGATAATTTACCTTGTATGTATCTGATGTGTGTTTTCCAGCTTAATTTACTGTCAGTAGTTATCCCTAAGAATTTAATTTCTGACACTTTTTCTATTGCAACACCATCTATATTTATTAATACTTCTGAGTTTTCTTTATAATTGCCAAACATCATTACTTTAGTTTTATTTAAATTCAGAGATAATTTATTAACATCCATCCATGTTTTTAGTTTTACTAATTCTTTATTTACTATATTTATATGTGTATTATAATTATCACTAGAATATAATATATTAGTATCATCAGCAAATAATATCAGTTTCAATAATTTAGATACATGGAATATGTCATTTATATATAAATTAAATAACTTAGGACCCAATACTGATCCTTGGGGGACCCCACAAGCAATGCCCAGACACTGTGACGTAAACCTGCCCAACTTCACAAAATGTTGTCTTTCAGTTAAATAACTTTTGATCTAGTTCAAAGCCACTCCCCTAATGCCATATATTTCCAGTTTATTGAGTAAGATTGAATGATTGAGTGTATCAAAGGCTTTCCTTAAATCAATAAATATTCCAACTGCATATTTTTTTCTGTCTAGGGTGTTTGTGATTTCCTCCACAGCTTCAATTATGGCCATTGATGTTGACCTCTTTGCTCTAAAACCATACTGACTTTCATTTATTATATCATATTTATCTATACATTTTTCTAATCTATCGTTAAATAATTTCTCTAATTTTTTTTTTAATTGAGGTAGCAGAGAGACAGGTCTATAGTTTGTGAAGATGTGCTTGTTTCCATTTTTATACATTGGTATTACTTTAGCAATTTTCATTTTATTTGGAAATATTCCAGTCTGAAATTATTCATTGCATATGTACGTTAGAGGTTTTGAAATACTATTTATTACTTTTTTAATTAGTGTCAAATCTATGTCATAACAATCAGTAGATGTTTTATTTTTGCATTTATTAACAGTAGTTTTAATCTCTGTCTCACTCACATCAGAGAGAAAGATGGTCTTCGCATTCCTTTCTATAAATGACTCATTCAATTTATTACTTCCATACTCAGGAATTATTGCTACTAAATCTGGTCCAACATTTACAAAAAATGTATTGAAACTATTTACTATATTATGCATATTAAAGTTTTCACCATTCATATCAATAAAATAATCTGGATATGGATTCTTATTTGTTTTAACTTTAATTAAACTATTTAGTATACCCCATACCCCTTTAATAGTATTTTTGTTTTTATTTAATACATTTTTATAGTATAATTTCTTACTAGTTCTTCTTATATTAGTCAATTTATTTTTATATGATTTATATTTGTTTTCACATTCTTTTGTCCTTAATTTAATACATTGTCTATATAGAGTAATTTTCTTTTTACAAGCATTTTGTAAACCCTTAGTTAACCATGGACATTTTATACATTTATTTTTGTAGTTGATTCGTCGAATGGGACAGTTTTTGTTATATAATGTGCTAAATATTTCTAAAAAACTATTGTACGCTCTATCCACATCTTTCTCTCTGTATACAATGTTCCAGTCCTTTTCCATTAAGTCGTAATTGAGTGAATTAATTGCTTCTTCTGTCTTTATATGTTTATATAAAGCTTTTGGGGAGTTTTGTTATTTTTATAATCGTCATCATACAATGTTAAGACTGGCAGATGGTCAGTTATGTCACATATCATTAGGCCACTGACATTAGTGTATTCAATGTTATTTGTGAAAATATTATCAATCAGTGCGGCAGTAATGTGTGAAGTAATTCTACTGGGTCTAGTGATGGTTGGGTATAAACTCATACTGTACATACTGTTCACAAATGCATCTGTTATTTTATGTTTATTTGAATTTATCAGATCTATATTATAATCTCCACATATGAATAGCATTTTGTTACTTGTTATAGAAAATATTTTTTCCATCCAGTCAATAAATGACTCCATACTTGAACCCGGCTGCTTTGTTTACTCTGTTTATATAATTGAGGTCATAACCTTCTAATTCAAAATCAATTCCTTTATCCTCATTGAACCATGTTTCGGATATTGCTATAATACTGAATGGATGTATAAACTGTTGTAAATAATCTTTGATAGTATTGAAGTTTGTATACATGCTTCTGCTGTTGAAGTGTATGATTGAAAATGTCCCTTCTGAGTTGATACTGTTGTTATAATCATCTTCAGTAAAGTAGTTACAGCTAGTATTGATAGATGAGAAAAATATGTTATCAGGGTCTATTTCATCTTCCAAGTCTTGTTCATTATGCGCAGTGTAATCAAATGATTTCAGTTCCAAGTGTTCATCGTTCAGAATCCTTTGTTGTAGACCTATGTAGTTAATGTCTCTTGAAGTAAGTGAAATGTGATTGGATGTCATTGTGTTGGTGTACACAGTTGTTGCTGTTTTTTTTGTTGTTGTTTTTTTTACCTCATTAATCCAGTAGCATTCTCAGTTATATTTATCCAGCTCCTCCATGCTTCTAATGACCAAAACCTTAGCCTCCTCTGGCGTTCCGTTAAGTTTGATGAATATTTAGCAGTTAGTAACCCAAGTGTTTTGTTTTGCTTCCTCAGATACCTGGCTTTTCTGGCTATATCCGCATTCCTCTTGGTTAGGTGATCATTCATGAATTCATTAGTGCCCTTCAATTTCTTTCCTTGTTTAAGCAGTGCGATCTTATTTTTTCTGTTCACAAACCTCAATATCACTGCTGACATGTCGTTGTCCTTCCTCCTGGGGAGAGGGTGGCATGCCTCGATGTTGTCCACATCTAGCGTAATCCCTCTGGACTCGAGAAAGGCCTCCACCTGTTGTTCCACGGAGCTCACCTCCATCTCGCAGGGCTCAACCCCGTTGTCAGCGGTCACTGACTGTGCATAAGACCGGGGTTTGATCTTGAGCCCGGTAACGACCACATCGTTAATTCTGGAGTATTGCTCTAAATCCTCCACTCTCCGCTCCAGATCTGCTATCCTTTTATCCTTTTCTGCGTTTTGAATACTCAGTATCTTGACTTCCTCCAGCAGTTTGAGAAGTTGTTTGTGCTTATCTTTTTGGGGTGTTTTAATATAGAGACCTTCTGTTAAAACTTGTTAAAAATAATAATAATAATAATAATCATCATAAAAGAATAAAGTTTGTAACTACGGATATACCTACTGTATATTTGAGTAAATTGATAAATTAAGTTATGACTGATGATGATGATGATGAACAAGAAGAAGAAGAAGAACAACAACAATGCTCTTTATGTTGACCGACAGCTACTTGTAAGACTGTTCTACCTTCATATTCTCTCCCTGATCTCTCATGACTGTTTTCTGGGCTTCTTGATTGTGGTGTAAATACACCACTATTCCATTAACCAATAACTATCATATAAATGTTTGTGCAGTGTAAGGCCTCCCTCTTGTGGACAGTAATGCTCAGGATGTATGTCTCTCCTTTAAAGAGTAGCAATTGCTCTAAATATAATCTGACCATCTTTATACATAATTTGGTTACTGTGATCTAATGATGTTTTCCCTCCATAAATAAAAGTTTAATGACAAAATAGTCATGTCATGCAATTTTAATTTGTACCCTATTTTTGTATAGCTTTAAAAACTGTAGTTTAAGTCATTGGACCCTTTTCACAGACTGTGATGACATGTTTCAATGGTCATCAGCATCGAATTGTTTTTTTTTTTTTTTTTTTTAAGTATTTACATTTATAACACTACACTATGTATTACCTTTGTATTACAAGAACACTGCTGTGAGGGTGTGTCTAATATAGCAGCTGCAGGAGTGACTGAAAATTTGACATTGCTCTCTCTTCTGATTGTCGCTATCAGTCTCTCTGTATTTTTTCCTCATTTTGAAATTTGTGAAAACACTATCCTGATTGCTCAATTAATTTGGTTACTCAATTCAGCATGTGAGACTTTCTGTTCACAAAAAGGACAGAATCAGGTGCAGACAGGGTAAGTTGCGGCATAGGGCCCCAGGGAATCAGGGTCCCCATCTTATATTAATGAAACAGATATGGAAAACTCCTGTGTTTGCGCTCTGGAGAGCATCAAAGGTTTCCATTTGCAATGTGTTTTTGCAGCATTGAGCAATGTGGCCAATCACAGACGTGTGTGTTTTTATTTCTTGAATGCAATGGCCAATCAGAGGTGTTTAAGGTAGTCCGAATCCACTCACCGGGCTCGTGAATCATATCATTATAACAAACAAAATGTAAACACGTTGTAAAGAAGAGATTCATTGTACAGTATAGACAGCTTTGTTGATTATAATGGAACATTGTGAGATTGCAATGAACTGAAGCGAGTGACAGATTTTACGATACTATTAAGGAGGGGATTATATTTTTTTGTTTTGTTTCTGGCCAAACCCTGAAATACAGAATGAGCCGCATGGGCAAAAAAGAAAAAAAGTAAAATAAAAAATTAGGTTAACAACATTAGGTTGACTAATAACTGAATTTGCGCTATTCCATAGAAAAGTTGTGAAGTGGACAGAATGGACAAATTAATGTGTAAATGTGACTGGTGACATTACAATTACGTTTTTTTGTTGTTGATAAAAGTTTAAAGGGTTAGTTCACCCCAAAATGAAAATTCTGTCATTAATTACTCACCTTCATGTCGTTCCAAACCCTTAAGACATTCATCTTCAGAACACAAATTAAGATATTTTTGATAAAATCCGAGAGCTTTCTGACCCTGCAAAAACAGTCAATATTGTGTCTAAAATGGAAGTGTCTTAATTAAGTGTATTGTTGTAATTGTATTGAACTGCTGTATAAAAGCAATATCTCATTTGTAATAATGCTGCTTTTTGGTGGAAAACACGTTAGTCTTCACGTGATACTGATTAACTATATGAAATTATATAAATAAAAACATTTCTGCCCCCATATCTTGAATTTTGTGATCATTCTAAATGCATGTTAATAAACTGAATCATGCAGTGAAAGAACGTGCACTGGTCTAACATACTAGTCTAGACTTCCTGTTGCCTTAGCTAAACTTTATGGCAGAAACCTCTATAAAAGAGGAAACCAACAATAAAATAGGAGAAAGTACTAAATTATTACTATATTACAATACTATATAGTAGTAAAACACATGAACAATAGCCTACTTTTTGATCAGTTCATCAGTAATATTCAGGAAAAATATATATGGAGTGGATGTTTGAACTTATTTGCATGTTTTTTTTTTTTTGTCTTTTTATCGTCATTCCAAATGATCAGGAAAAGATGAAATCAACAGTAAAACTATTAGTAACTATAGTAAATTATTACTATATTACTGTGCCATAGTAAAATGTATGTGCCTATTTTTTGATCAGTTGACCAGCTATCTGCCCAATCAGGTATCTAGGTGACAAAGTTTATAGTTCTTGAGAGTATGGTACCTCTTGTACTTGTACTTTGTAAGGGTGCAGCACTGGTCAAATCTTTCTCTCTTGGATAACCAGCAGGCTCATCAAAGCGTTTGATCCAGTCCTGATACACTTCTTCATTTCTCAAATAAACCCAGCCACCATTGTCATCGCTATTTCCAGCCCTATTTAGAGCCAGATCACCCCTGCTGCCTCTACCACGTCTCCCGGCTCTCCCACGCACAGCATGGCCACGTCTACTGCGGCCACTCCCACCTCTTTGGGGCAGCTAGTGCTACTTCCAGCCCTATTTCTCCTACCCCTGCTGCCTCTACCTCTAGCAACAGCTCTCCTATGGACACTACAACCACGTTCTCCCCCGCCACCCCCATCCCCGTTGGGCAAAGGGTCGAAATGATCACTTGTTTGTGCTTCGTGAACACTCTCGCCTTGCACGGTGGCACCATTGCGCTGCAAAGATGCACAATTCACTCAGATGCTCTGAACTGAACTGCTTCCGCATCAATGACACGATAGCTCACTTGCTCTTCTATTTCCTCTAACACTTTGAATAGGAACATGACATAATTTTGGTCTAGAATCGAAGTACTACGTGTCTGCCATCTAGTGGTAGGGAATACAAATTATTTATTAAACCATATTAGGATCTACAGCCTATTTATTAAGTATGACGTCTTGTCGCAATTTTGCGACTTTGGCGCTTAGAGGGTTAAAATGAATGTCATGATTCCCACTATGACCACTAAATGGCAGCAGAGGATAATTTACTGTCTCCTTTACCATTTCCCCTCTGTAATATAGTTCTTTTCACATGTTTTGCCAATGGATTTAGATTTAGACATTATAAAATCACTATTATAATATTTAAAAATCATTTTTTTTGCCAAAGTTCTGCATTGTTTTGTATTGAAGTATGAAGTTGCAAGAGTTTTCAACTCATTGAATCTACTTGAATCACACAGATGGCCTATTTTGAATTCAAAACGGCAATTTTCAGCGAAATATGGCTAGTTTGTATCCTTGTTTACAATCTTAGTTTCTCTCAAATGTAAATCAAATGCCCATTCACAAACATTCTGTAACGGGGCTGACAAGACGTGAGACACGTGGATCCATCTGCAGGCTTTATTAAAGAGACGTGGTCAACAGGCAGGGTCAAAACACTGGCAAACAGGTATAAGGCGGGCAACATAAGAATAGTCACAGGGCTAGCGAAGGTCACCGACCAGCAGACAGAATCACAGGGGCGAGACAAGAGGGAGAAATCCAAGAAAACAAGCAAAGATCAGAAACCGCAAAAACAGGCAAGGCAAAAACAAGGAAAACACGGAGACTCGGAAAGGGGTACAGGCTAAACAATACTCAGCAGAGAAAGGTGGTTGGAGTGGGTGTTATATAGTGAATGAGGTAATTAGAAACAGCTGTGTGCAATGAGTGCAATCAGGGCAGTGTGCAAATTGTGCAAATAATGATGGGATATGTAGTCCGGGGTGCTATGCAACAGTTTGTGTAGTGCGAGAGTCAATGTAATGGAAAGGGTGACATCTGGTGGTGAATAAACGGAAGTCCATGAACCGAATTCGTGACACATACATTTTGTTTGTGAATGAACCCCCCCCAGAAATAATAAAGAAATAAACTGATATTAATCACTTTGCCCTTTTAGGCAGTGGCAGAGCCAGGATGTTTTCATAGGGGTATGAAAACATGTCTTCATTATTTCAATATAGAATGTATTTGACTATAAAGTACTGGACTGTTTTAGTGCCTAAAACACAACTGAATACAATTAATTTGTACTTAATTGTAATTGAGATAGTTGTGAATTACATCAAGAAATACTGAGTGAATGACAATTTTTGTTTTGTTTTTGTATTACCTAGGCTAGAGAGAGAGACTGCCTGAATGACTGAGCATGTCCTCCATCAGGTTAAGTCATATTCATGAAAAAAAAATAGTTTGCTATTCCTAATAGTAATGTTGTCGTAATATCCTAATATCTTTTCAATGTTTAGGGGTAACGTACTCCCTCATGACTGGTGTCAGTGCTATAAAGTGAAGCATCCACTTCAGCTTTTCACCCTGTCGTTTATCCCAGCATTTACCCCTCACGTCACTAGCTCCACCCTTGCGCCATAGCTCGTGACCAGAAGAGAAGATGAGTCGTTTTGAGGGGGAGTGGAGGTTAACGTTTTTGATTAAAGATTACGAGGGCACATGAATTTTAAAAAAATAATGAAGTGCACGGATAAATTATTCATAATAAACACTACAGTATTCCATTAAAAATAAGAATTTTCAACTTTGCTTTCATGGTGACTTTAACACCACCAATATCTTGTTCTCCATAATTTCATAGGCCCACTCATGGATGAGACATGCGGATAACTAGTCAACCTTCACTGAATTTTATATAGTCAATGAACTCTGGTTATCAGTCAATGTTTAACATTCTATTAGTTGTCAAAATGAATTAATTGCAACACTTTTGTCATACCTAAATCAAGCTCAAAATACATTTCATGACTTAACTGACGATGTATACTTGCAGTTTCTAGTGCGGTTTATTTAAGAAGTGAGCGTGCGCCTCATATTCATGTACAGTTGAAGAGAGTGCACCGTGAGCACAGTAAAACAGCTGACAGGGCAGGAAAGTTTGTTTTACTGACATATAACAATATCTCATCAGACCGCAGTTCCCTGTTGTTCTACTGAAGCTCATTTGGCACCTGTACCTTTTCAGGGGAAGCTGAAGTGAGCGTCTGAAAAGTCTCCCGTTTGTTGTGGTCGAGATTAATTATTAATTATTTTTAATAACTAAGCTTTTGATTATTTATAACATTTTATTAAAGGGGTCCTATTATGCTTTTTCACTTTTTTTATTTTAGTCAGTGTGTAGTGTGTATGTTTGGGCATAAAAAAGATCCAGAAAGTTACAAATCTCAAAGTCCACTCCAAAGGGAGATATTTAGTTTAAAAAAAAATCAATTTTCAAGAACTACAGCAAATGGCTCGTTTGGACTACAGCGTTTGGTTTCCGGGCTTTGTGATATCACAAAGTGGACCATTAGAATATCATTACAAAGAATTCCTGCCTACAGAAATTCGAATGGTTGGGGGTGGGGAGGGGCGAAGTTGTGGTTAGAAAGCTTGGTTGAGTGAGTGCATCAGACGAGACGACGAAGAAGAACGCAGCGCAAATCTGTAAATGAATATTCCGAAGTGAAGTAAACTTCAACGGATTTCCCCTGCTCAGGGAGTAGGGAGCAATGGACACTGTGTAGGGAGCATGTCAATCGGACACAGTTCATGCACGGAGCTCACTTCTAACGAGATGATCTGAATCAGGTGTGTTAACAAAGAGAGACGTGCAAAACATGCAGAGTGGGGGTACGCGAGGACTAGGATTGAGAACCGCTGGTCTAGAACAATTCTTACAAGTATAACACAACGTAGCTGGGTGCCGCGAACAGACGCCGAACAGCACCGCCGGTGTGCCTACACTCATAGAAAATAATGTGTTCGAATTTTAAAGTCGTGGCGCAACGCTGCGGTGTGCGACCGCCTTAAATGTTGTTTTTTTTCCCCTTCCGAAAGCGAATGATGTCAGGAAACAGTGGTTGCAATTTACTTTTTAACTCTGTTCCTGAGCATTATAACCCCAATTTGCTATTGTGTACTGCGCATTTTACTGAGGACAGCTTCCACAACACGAGTGAGAAGTGCCGGATTCGCCAAAAGCTTTTGTTGAAAGACAGAGCAAGGGGGCATGGCAGTACTGAAACACTGTCTAAGCTGTTCGCCAATCACAACGCACTGGGACAGCTAACCAATCACATCACATTTTGTTTTTCGGAAGGCGGACCTTCATCAAAGCCGGAACTAATCGAGCCATTTGTGCCAGGACGGGGAGAAAGGTATTTTAATAATGTAAATTATGTGAAAAATACCAAGCATGAGAGCATGTTCTAGTACACCCCCAAAACAAAATCAAGACTTTGTAAAAGAGCATAATAGGACTCCTTTAAAGAAGATTTTCACAGAATGATTTTGGCAAAATGGCGTCCCCCTATGTGTGGCGCCCCTATGCACTGCATATACTGCATTCCCCGTTTTTGCGCAACTGCCTGTCTGTCATTTATTGAAAGTCATTGTTTTTCTTATTCGTTGTTTGATTTCTCTCATATAAGTTATATGAGCAGCATAATTTGGCAGCAACACACATGAAATGAAACATTTAAACACTTTTTCCAATCATTGACTGAAATAGTATTTTCTTGTAAAATACACTCCAATAATCTTATTAAAAAATGTGCCTGTAATACTTACAGTATATGTACACCAACTATCGCTCTCTCTCTCTGTGTGTGTGTGTGTGTGTGTGTGCATATATATATAAACACAGTATATAGAAATATCCGAGACTTCCCAAAACAGATTTCATTTTCTTAAGCATTATTAAAATGACGCCATATTATCTTATTACAGTAATAACATGTTACCATGTTCTATTGTTTAGGACCTTTAAAAAGTCATCTGGCCAATACTGAGATTTATTAATGCCACATTTATTGGTGATGACAGTCTAAGAAAAAGGAATAAACAAACAAGCAAACAAATAAATAACTAATTAAATCTGTCAATAAATAAAAATAAACTTTGCTTTGCCCTTAGGGAAATGCGGAACACTATCATCAAACATCAACAACGCAGATATAAAATAAACTATAAAAAAGTGAATACAATATAGGAGAGAGAGCTGAATACATCTGCTTTCATAAATACCCCCCCCCCCCCCCCCCACCCCCTACTCCCTTGCTTGGCGGGGGGGAGGAA